TGTAGAACAGAAACCTCCTCACATTTCTATGCTCCTGATACTCAATTCTTCCAAATATTTGTGAATCACTGTTACTGCCGATTATTTCAACTTTGAATGAATTTCACAATGTTCGAAATACATCACCTCTGTATATATCTTGAGTAAGATTAACTGGAAAAAAGTCAGAAGAACACTTATTTTTGGGGGAAACAGAAACCTCTTCACACTTCTGTGCTCCCAATACTCAATTTTCCCAAATATTTGTAAATCACTGTTACTGCCAGTTATTTCAAATTTAAATGAAGTTCACAATTTTCGAAATATATCACTTTTGTATCTCAAGTGAGATTAACTGGAGAAAAGTCAGTAGAGATCTTATTTTTGGGGGAAACAGAAACCTCTTCACACTTCTGTACTCCTGATAGTCAATTTTTCAAATTACCGTAAATAAATTCTGCACTTAGTTATTCCAACTTTTGAATGAATTTCACGCAATTCTAAATAATTCACCTCTTCATCTCACGTGACAATAACAGAAAATAAGTTAGTCAGGTGTATATTTGCGTATATGTTGCACATTTATATGCAAGTGTAAAACAGAAAACTCCTCACATTTCTGCACTCCTGATAGTCAATTTGTCCAATTATCGTAAATCACTGCTGGATCTGGTTATTCCAATTTTGAATGAATTTCACGCAATTCGAAATATTTCACTCCTGTATCTTACGTGAAAACGACTGAAAAATTGCAGTCAGGCCCAAATGTGTGTGAAAGTTTCACTTTCATGCACTCCTGATACTCAATTTATCGAATTTCCGTAAATCACTGCTGGATCTGGTTATTCCAACTTTGAATGAATTTCACGCGATTCGAAATATTTCACCTCTGAATCTTAGGTGAAAATAACTGATAAATGGCCGTCAGGCCTAAATGTTGATATATGTTGCACTTTTATATGCGACTGTAAAACAGATACCTCCTCACACTTCTGCACTCCTGATACTCAATTTTTCAAATTTCCGTAAAACACTGCTAGATCTGGTTATTTCAACTTTGAATGAATTTCACACAATTCGAAATATTTCACTCCTGCATCTTACGTGAAAATAACTGAAAAATTGCAGCCAGGCCCAAATGTGTGTAAAAGNAGGCCTAAATGTTGGTATATGTTGCACTTTTATATGAGAGTGTAAAACAAATACCTCCTCACACTTCTGCACTCCTGATACTCAATTTTTCAAATTTCCGTAAAACATTGCTGGATCTGGTTATTCCAACTTTGAATGAATTTCACGCAATTCGAAATATTTCACTCCTGTATCTGACGTGAAAATAACTGAAAAAGTGCATAACGGGCCAACTCAGGAAGTTGAAATTTGGGATAATGAAATCAATGCACGAATACTTTATTTTGAAGTGAAATTCACAGATGAAACTTTCAAGATGATTTGATAAGTAGAAATGGGGGTCTTGTGACACATCATTTTGAAGCTCCTGACGAATACTTCACAACCCTAGAATATGAAGGCACTATCTTCGTCTAATATAAAATGGCGGAATATTTAATAATTTCCTGAAGACAAACACATTAATATCGATATTTCTAGAAATATTCCTTTTTATCTGCCATATAGCTACCCGATAAGTTTTGTTAGGTTATTTTTTGTTTATAAAAACGACAAATAGTGTCAGTACGACAATGAACATCATTGTTCACTTAAACTATTCTCATTTAGTTTTTGATTTTACTAATAGAAAGGTACCACGTTAACAATCTCTGAAATGGTCAATTTTCTCGTCCATTGGAAGAAAAAATTGAGGCGATTTTTATTCATGGTGCGACGCGTAACTTTCACGAGACCGAAAGGATTTTCAATGAATGTTTTCCGAATCGTCTTATCTGTAGAAAATATTTGAGGGGACTTGTATCCAAATTCACAACCGGTGTAGTGTACATAACAAAAAGCCTCCAGGGTCATCTATCCATTTCGGAAGAACAGCAAGTGTAGATAATTGGTGAGATGGTAGTAAATCCTGAACAGTTTGTGAGGGGTCTCTTTCCACTGCGTGGAGACTTTTGAAGAGGAATAGGTATCATCTATACAAAATTAAAATGAAACACCGATTAATTGAAAATGACCCTGATCGAAGAACAGAATTCTGCGAAATCATGACGGAAACCATTGCAAGGCATCCTACCTATCTCCACAATATTTGTTTTTGCGAAGAATGTACATTTTTTAAACGGCAATGTTCACAGATAAAATTGTCGTTATAAGACCAACCCTCACGTTTTCCAGGAAACACATACCCGATATCCAGAAAAAATTAACGTTTGGACAGGAATATTGTGAAACCATATTGTAGGACCTCTATTTATTGATCAAAATTCAACAGAGGAACTGTATTTGAATATGCTGAAAACTACTGTTGATCCTCTCATCACTGAAATCGTCGAAGCGAATCCTAATGAATTTGATATGGATATTGTATTCCAACAAGATGGAGCACCACCACATTCTCCAGACACGTAAGAAACTATTTAGATATTACTTTTCCAGTTCGTTGGATTTGCCATCGAGGTCCTACAGAATGGCCAGCCCGCTCACCAGATTTGATTCTTTTGGACTTTTTAACGGGGCTATTTAAAGCAAAAGGTGTACGAAACTGAACCTGCTTCAATATTGGATGTATGGCAGAGAATAATAAATATTTGTAGATATATTGACGTAACTGTGTTCGAAAATGGCGTGAAACATCGGAGAGGCTGTTCATGTGTCAAGAAGTTTGAAGCAACCATTTCGAGCATCTTCTGAACTGACCTCGAACGTTTTACCTCATATTATGTAGTTAAATGTCAATGTATTCAGGCAATTTTTAGAAGTTCTGCCATTTTGTAATAGTTGGAGATATTGATTTCATAATACAGGGTTGTGAAGTATTCGTCAGGAGCTTCAAAATGATGTGTCACAAATTAGTGTGAAGTTACCCACAACTTTTCATTCACAGTTCATGACGAGGGACAAGCGAACGGGGTTTAGAATGAAATTTGCGAACAGTGTTGCCAGATTGCAAATATTAAGAATTTTACCTGTATTTCGATATTATCATTTTAAAAACACGATATATTATTGAAACATGTCGAATAAATGAGTCAGCATTCTATATAAACTCATTCTATCAGCCAACTGTCCCTATATTGATACCGAAAAACATGTAAAATAAAACTATATTATTCAGGAAAAATTAATTTGTTCCAAAACAGCGTATGGGAACTGGAAAATTGGTTTCTCAGTAAAAATTTTATGACTTCTGAAAAGTATGTCATTTGAAATATCCTGCGTTGAACAATACCGAATGCCCGGGAATGACTCATCCACGAAATATCAAATTTCTCACTTATCAAAAAGAGTTTTTTAAAGGAAACTTCAGAATATATTCTTCGAAAGTAAATCAAACAGATTTGTGTAACATACGTACTTCGGCGCAAAAAAATATAGTTCCTTATATTCGGAGCTGAATTATTCAAAAAAGTCAAATTTCTCACTTCTCAAAAATAGTTTGTTGATGAAAATTTCGGAATATATTCTTCGAAAAACTATTTTTGATAAGTGAGAAATTTGACTTTATTGAGTAATTAAGTTCTGAATAAACGGAACTATTTTTTTCACAAGCCCCCCTTTCAATTTAATTTATTTTCTCAAATGGCGCCCAGTCGCCATCTTGAAAGTTCCATCTGTCAATTTCACTTCAAAATAAAGTATTCATGCATTGATTTCATTATCCCAAATTTCAATTTTTTTGAGTTGACCCGTTCAAAAAAATAAAAGGGGGGGACATCAAAGAAGTGGACTGTATATCTCTATTTTTATATGTTCTTCTTTGAGACTGAGAGACTGATTTGTATAGTTTTACATTTCGAACAATAAAATGAACACCTACTTACCCTCGTCCGATTTTTCAATGGTGACTACTTCAGTATAAAATAACAATAATAATAGTAGTTATCAATTTATTATCATACGATAATTACATTGAAAACAAGTTATAACAGTGAACAAATTACACAATAAATAAGGCTTAAAAAACTAAAATTTCACAGTACCTACATTATATAAGAGGAGTACCTAATACTCAAGTAAAATGTGGAAAATACAACAGAGTATGGAATTCGGAAAATGAAACATTTCAGTTTGCTTTTACCTTAGACAAGAGAAGGGAGAGGATGCGTAACTAGCAATCTAAGCAAGCACAATAAACTGTGCCGCCATTAGATTGGTGACTAAAGCTTGTGTAACACCACGACTATTTTAGCCATTTTTAGCGTGATTTATAACTGAAAAGAACTTTGATAGGTAGTTTGTTACAAAAATTATTTATGCTGCATATCAGTGTAAAAGTAGTAGTAACAAAAAGGAACCAGATATTACGTTCTAAAGTGAAAAAATCATTAAATAATAGTTGTTCTGTTTTATCATATTTCAAGTTGTTTTCTATTATTATTCAATTTCGTATTTTTATAATGTACATCTCCCAATGCCGGAACCATAATTATTACCAGTTGAATTTGTTTATTTCAAATTTTCATTCAAGTTTTGAGCTATGATTCCCAGAGGCGTGCGGAACGAGAATTTTTATGGACGTTAATATAAATATATAATATATTATACTTTGGATTTTTCATTATTGTAAATGCTTGTATTACGTTTTCATTTTCAATGAATCAACTTAATTTTGACTGTTTTTCAGATTTCCTGCGAAACTTGAAAATTGGACGCCGTCGCCAAATGATGGATTATGTTCAAAGCAACTAGTTTAGTGATCCAATAATTTCTCTTAAAAAAACAATTGTTTTCTTGCCGGCGTTTCGAATTTAATGGAATTCTTCTTCAGGGCTCGGAAATTAGTTTTTTCGTATTAATATTACTATTTTGTCTCGAAGTTGTTGCAATGTTTTTTTATTTTTTCAAATGTATCTGATACGTCTGATGGTTTTTAAAATAGTAAAATTAACACGAAGAAACTACTTTTCGAGCCCTGAAGAATAATTTAATTGAATTCGAAACGTCGGCAAAAACAATTGTTTTTGTAAGAAGAAATCGATCCTGTTACCAAACCCACCATCCTTCAGAAAAATGATTGGATTACTAAATTAGTTTATTCAGTTAAAATTATGAATTGATGAGTTTAGTTTTAATTTCTACTCATTATATTTTATTATTTTGTAACAAGTTTATTATAAATTATGTAATTTATCTGGAAATTTAAAAAAATACAGTCAAAAACATACATTAGAGTCGAATAAAAACTTCACATTTGATAAATTTAATTTACTGTTTCTCGCTGCTTATTTCCAACATAATGTTACGCCTCTGGTCAAACCAGTGGCGTAACCTCTGCCTGAACGGAACACATTACGAGTCCTCTCCCTTCTCTTGTCTAAAGCAGGGTCCACACTATGCCGCGGTAGGCCGGGCGGCTTTGCCGGGTTAGAAAATGCCGGCCCGGGCTGTGCCGATCCCAACCCGCATAAAGTAGGTACAGATCAAAGGAAGCCGAGCCGAGTCGAACAAAAATATAGAGTGGGGACGTGCCGAGCGGCCCCGAGCGGCTTCAGTTACAACTAAACCTCCGACCGAACTAGACGAAATATTTTATTTTCGACTCAGTTTGTTTAAGTAGGGTTTTTTATTGTTCATTTCAAGTGATGGAGTGGAATGACGAACAAGTTTTAGTGTTAACAGACTTATATAGAGAACGTCGTCTTCTATGGGATAGTTCAGATTCCCAACGTAAATTAAAAAACCAAAGACACGACAGTCTCACAGAGACTGCTGTGTCTTTTGGAGTGGATAAAAATGAAATTTAGCGCAAATGGAAAAATTTAACCAGCCATTTTTGGAGGGAAAAAAAGAAAGAAGCTGAAACGAAAAGAACAGGGAGTGGCGCGTCGTGTGGACGTTGTGCCGACCCGAACGTACCCGCCCGGCCTACCGCGGCATAGTGTGGACCCTGCTTAAGGCTTTTACACCGAGTCAAAGCCGGTCAATTTTCAATCTCATCAGAAAGGGAGTTGAACAGGCCCCATTGAAAATAGACTTTCTCTGATAGACAGTTGTGATACGTTTTTCGGATTTACGATTACCATTTCTGGTATCTCAAGAGGTCTATTTTCATTGCAAGTCCTGGTTTCAAATTTGTCACGATTCTCACAGCATATTCTCAAGTGATGACTTTATCATTAACTAATATCCTGTTTGGGCTTGTCACCTTCATCAACGGATTCACAAGGCAGTTTATGCGATCTGATACTGTTGCTCCTGATCGGAAAAGGAACTCCCTTCAAAATGAACTGGATTTCTTCGAGTGTCTTTCCTTTAGTCTCGGGAATGTAAATTTGTACGAAGACGGCAGTCAAAAGAGTGCAAGCAGAAAAAAAATAAAACGGTATATCGTAGCCTACGTGCACCGACAACCTTTGATAAATTTCAACTGAAATCCAGGCGAACAGGACATAAAAGAAGTCGGAAATTGTCATCCCCATGGCTTTCACTTTCGCGGAAAACAGCTCCGCCGTCATAATTATGGGTATAATTCCCAGACCGAATTTGAATACCGCGGCATATACCATGACAGATGCTAGAGGAATCCAAGATATACTGTCGACATTCATCCCGTTACTTTTCATGCTGAAAAATACTGCCAACACTAACAAAGACAAGCCTGTTAGTAAGCTTGAACACGTGAGTAGAGCTTTACGACCAAATTTGTCAACGACAAAGTCGGCAATAGTTGCCGATATCAACATCATCGCTGCAAACAGAATGCCAGCCACTTCCGAGCTCATATAAACCGAATCAGCAGCCGACAGAATTTCATGTAAATTCATCAACATTACGCTTATGCTGCTGAAATGCTGTGCTCCATTCAGCACAAACATAATCAGGACTGCTTTTCTATTGCTCTTCGACAAAACTAGATCCTGAGGTCTCCCCTTTTCAGCTTGTTGCCTTTTGACGGCGACACTTATTTCCGAAAGTTCAGTATCGACATCAGCTGTACCACGCAGTCTCTGCAGATGAAGTTTCGCCTCTTCAGGATTATCCTTGGAAATCAAGTAGTAAGGCGAATCCGGCATGAAAGGAAAAATAACCAGCTGAATTGAAACCAGGACACCACCTATGATAGACGGTACATAAAACGGCACGAATGGAGTTACAGCATATATTATCAGAATTCCAATCAACAGCATGACATAAATTATCCCAGCGAGAAAACCCCTAATTTTTTTATCGGCTATCTCAGCTATGTACATAGGAGCTGATACGAAAGCCACATCCCCAGATAACCCTACCATGAATCTGGCAACGTACAGATATTCAACTCTATTCGCGAATCCTATCAGCACCCAACCTATCAAAGAAATGATAGCCGATACTAGTATGGAACCTTTCCTCCCAATTTTGTCTACAGCGAAAATTGTGATCGGTAACCCTGCAAGTCCACCAATCAGGTAGATGGATTCCAACCATATATAGTCGTTTTCTTTCAAATCAATTGGAGAGTCCTTTCTTTTAAGGACCTGGATTCCTGGAGCACTCCAGCCATAATTCATCCCATCAGAAATAGCTCCCAAAGTAGCTGAAACAAAAATATATTCGTTAGTCACCCTTCACATTGAGCAATTTTCATAGTATAGTATAGTCTTTCGACAGGGACTTTGGAACTTTGTTAACTGATAACGCTTTTGACTGTGTAGATCAGGGGTCTCCAAACTTCGAAGCCTTCGGGCCATAATGATTTTTTCAGTTTGTTCCAAGGGCCAATTTCTGCCCTTAACTATATTTCTAGACTAGAATAGTCGCAAAGTGCGTGACCTAAGGAAACTTACGTTTTTTTGCATTTCAATTATTGTGTATTGTGACACTTAACGACATCTAGTGGCGAGTAGTGGTACTATGTACTATTTTTTCAGCTACCCGCTAGGTGGCACTAGGCGTGCCATAAAATATTTGGATTTACCGCGTTGGTTCGAAAAAGTTCTGGTTCTAGCTAGTGTATACCGATCACTTCGAGATGGCAGTGATAATTGCATATAAAAAGGCCAGCGGCGCAACTGTGAGTTAGTCTGCGTAGGAAAGGCGAAGGAAGCGAAACTGTTTATTGTGAAATAAAGTAACACCCGTCAATAAAAGTATTTTGATTTGATAAAATGTTTGGATATGTCTGAAGTTCTAAAACCAGTCATATCAGTTGTTAACTTCATCAGATCCACTGGGCTGAATCACCGACAATTCCGCGAGTTTATTCAACAGATTGGAGAAAATGATTTACCATATTATACTGCCGTACGCTGGCTTAGTTGCGGAAAAGTCCTTAAGCGCTTTTTTGAAGTTCGAGCAGAGATCGAAATTTTTTAAATGAGAAACAGCGCCCTTTTGCCGATTTAAAAAATAGTGAATGGATGTGGGAGTTAGCCTTCTATGTCGATTTGACAAATCATATGAACGAAGTGAATTTGAGATTGCAAGGAGAAAATCAGCTTCTCGCTGATTTATACACCAGTAACAAATCCTTCAGGCAGAAAATAATACTATTTAAATCGCTATTAAGTAAAAAATGCTTCACACATTTTGAAACATGTGAAATATTCAGCCACACTACAGAGACTGAATTTCCCGTCAATTTTGCAATCGAAACTTTGAGTGCTTTGAAGATAAATTTTGATACTCGTTTTTTCAGATTTTGATGTCATTGCGAATGAAATTGAGCTTTTTCAAAATCCTTTTGATTCTGACATTGAAACCCTGGCTCCGGAAGTCTAAATGAAAATTATTGATTTACGGTGCAGTGATATGCTCAAGAACAAATATCAAAATTCATCTTTGTTGGAATTTTTTAAGAGTCTTCCACTGGAACAATTTGATAATTTGCATAAATTTGCTCGTGGGTTGTTTTTTGTTTTTGGTACTACTTACTTGTGTGAGAAAACGTTTTCCAAGATGAAGTACACAAGGCATGTTTACAGATCTCAATTAACCGATGAGCATCTTAAATCTCTTTTGATAATTTGATACAAGTGAAATTCATCCACAACTACAAAGTATTGTCGGTGGAAAATCACAATTACAAAAATCTCATTAGTGTTTTTGTTTTACTGTGATTCATTTCAATTATTTGTTAGTTATTAATATGCTTAAACTTAGATATTTAAGTTAAGTTTTCTTTGTAAATGTAAGTAAATAAAACCGAGTAATTATCATTCTGTGTTTTCTTCTTCAGCTTATCACAGCAATAGTAACAACAATTAGGTGATCATTGGCTGTTGCGGGCCAGATTGATGACACTGGCGGGCCGGATTTGGCCCGAGGGCCGTAGTTTGGAGACCCCTGGTATAGATCATGGAATACTGCCGAAAAAACTGTATCACTATGGCATCCGTGGAATTACTCACAAGTGGTTCTGAAATTATCTCACAGGAAGAAGTCAGATTGTGAAAACCTCATCATCCTCATCAGAAGGCGAAATAAAAAATGGCGTACCACAAGGTTCAATACTGGGACCGATACTTTTTCTGCCATAAACGATTTAGCGTCTATCGATTTAAAAGGAAAATTAACCCTATTTGCTGATGACACCACAATATTGTGGCGTTATGAAACTTTATGTAATCTACACGAGAATATAAGTGCAGATATAAAAAAAATAAAGAAGTGGTGCGACTCTAACCTGCTGTTTTTCAATGTTTACAAAACAAATTTAATATCATTCCGCTGCTTTATCGACAGCTTTCCTTTAGCAACACAGGACGCGGACAGGCCTACACAGACCTAGTACTAAATTTTTGGGGGTAATAAATTGACAATAAACTCGAATTCGATGATCACATTGTAACTCTCAATAAAAAGCTAGCTTCAGGGTGTTTTGCAGTGGGAATAACAAATAAGGATCTTGGTTTGTCTGCCGCTAAATCGGCTTATTTCTCACTTGTTGAGTCACATTTAAGGTATGGAATTCCATTCTGGGGAGTATGTTGCAAAACTCAAATGCAGACGGTGTTCATCATTCAGAAAGGGGCTATAAAATTCATGTGTAATGCCAAAAGTCGGGACTCCTGCAAACCCCTATTTGGATTACATAAAATCTTAACAGTTTTTGGAACTTTTATTTTAGAAACAGTATGTTTAATTAAACATAAATTGATAGTTATCTACAGCGCCATCTGCCCTAAAATAGATTAAGAAACATCAATTAGGTTACGTATAGCGCCATCTACCCGCGAATAGATTAAAAAACACCAATTAGGTTACGTATAGCGCCATCTGCCCGCGAATAGATCAAGCAATAATTGATAGTTACTTACAACGCCATCTGCCCGCGAATAGATTAAGAAACATCAATTAGGTTACGTATATCGCCATCTACCCGCGAATAGATTAAGAAACATCAATTAGGTTATGTATAGCGCCATCTACCCGCGAATAGATTAAGAAACATCAATTAGGTTACGTATAGCGCCATCTGCCCGCGAATAGATTAAGAAACAGCAATTATGTTACTTACAGCGCCATCTACCCGCGAATAGATTAGGAAACATCAATTAGGTTACTTACAGCGACATCTGCCCGCGAATAGATCAAGCAATAATTGATAGTTACTTACAGCGCCATCTGCCCGCGAATAGATTAAGAAACATCAATCAGGTTACTTACAGCGCCATCTGCCCGCGAATAGATTAAGAAATATCAATTAGGTTACGTATAGCGCCATCTGCCAGCGAATAGATCAAGCAATAATGCCTATAATTCTGTCAATAGATTCCGAGCTTGAGAGTTATAAACAAACATAAATACATACATACATACAAACATAGTGGTGAAGCTAATATAAAGCGTGTAAAAAAAAGGTAACCGTCATCAAGAACAATACAATGGTCGAAGAAAATTTCCGGGCTCTCGCCCTTCTTGAGTGGAATTGTTGTTCCGGAGAATATCAAAAAATGGAAAAGGAAAATGTTATTGTATTCGGAGTGTTTTATGACGATGTAATGATAAATATTTGATGAAACGTTTCGTGTCAACATGGCCACCATCAACTTTTTATTTTTAATACGGACATGTCTTTTTTGTTACAGATATTGATACAGTGATAAATTCACAATCTAAGGGTATATCACATTTGATATTTTCATAGCGTTTCATTTGACATAACTACCATCATCAGTGACAACAATTTTAAATTACGGTCCTGTCGTTACTTCTTTTGTGAATTGTTTCGATTTCTGCAAAATATAATTCAGACAACCCAATAAATTCGACAGGTAGGTACCTTAACACAATGAAAATTCGTACTTTTTCGTTTTGTAAATTTTTTTATTGCTGTAATCCTTCTTTCAAAACTTATTTCTCCCTAATCAATTATAATTCGTAACATTTTTATAATTCTCAATCCTGGAAGTAACGAAAATATCAGTTTTTGGTCAAAATTTGATTGTTGTATAGTTTGGTATGATCCAATAGAATCTCAATTCATTTACCACCTTGAACGCGTGTAGACTTTGCTTGATTTCTATGGCAGGAAAAATTAATGCGTTGTTGATATTTGTTGAGAACTGATAAAATGATGAAAGGATTGATATGCTATTAAGGTATGCAAAATCAAATAGAAATCCTCTTTTAGCAAGGAATATTTATGTTGAGCTATACACGAAACGTCGTATTCCGAACGGGGACTATGGCGCATTTGACAGAAAGAAAACAAGAAAATGTATGGTTACTGGAAGTGTGAGGATTCAAATAAATGTTATGGGTAAGCAAATATTACCACATAAATATATATACAGTGAAAACTCTTTTTTTTATTTAGAATTGGCCAATTACAAAAACTATGCTGATAAAGAACTATTTAGAAAAAGAACAAATATGTATCCTACAGGATACGCAAAGTTAATCACCTCAATGAAAGGGATTACGAAAGGAGAGTACGATTTGCGAAACTGTTAAGACGTAGAAATAGGAAAGTTGAAAATATTTGTAAAAAAAATAATATGGACGGACGAATCAAAGTTCACCAACAATGGTTGGTTTAACAGAAATATCCATTATAGGTGGAATAATACAAATGAACATTCACTAGGGAAACCAATTTCCAAGAAAGGTTCGGAATAAATGTTTGATTGAGAATTGTAGGAACAAACATCCTTGGCCCTTTCTTTTACGATGACTATTTGAATAGTGAAATGTAGCTCCATTTTCTATTCAATGAATTCGATGGCCACTTAGATGAATTGCCACTGAATATCAGCCATGAAATAAAATATTTTCAACAAGACTGCGCTCCTTTCTTATAATGCAGCAATTTACATGCAATATTCCCAAAAAAATGGATTGGAAACAATGGACCAATTAACTGGCCAGCTCGATCCCCAGATTTTACTCCTTTAGATTTTTTGTGATCTCTAGTGTCGAGTTTGTACATTCTATGCAGTTTTTGCTCAGCAATTAAACTGGAAATATTGTGCTTTAACATGGAACGCCATCACTTACCATTGGCTGAGATGAATAGAGCTGTAGGACTTCTTCAAGGTGGCATGCGACAAAATGATGTAGCTCTTCGTTTGGGGGTCTCCCAAAGTGTTATCAGTCGATTGTGGCGGCGTTTCCGTGAAACTGGCAGTCCAGCCGAACAACATCCAGGGCGAGGACGCGCTACAACTGCAGTTCAACACCGATTTTTGGTCTTAACCGCAAGAAGACAACCGACAATCACAGCACCTGAGTTGGTTAACGTGTTGCAGCAGACGCACCAGGTAACCATTGGTCGTGATACTGTCAGACATCGACTGCATGAAGCAGATCTCCACAACAGAAGGCCACTTAGATGTCCACCTTTGTCGAGAGGCAATCGCGGTAGAAGATTAGAGTGGTGTCAAGAACATCAAAACTGGGATGCAAATGATTGGGCCACAGTTTTGTTTACAGACGAATCCAGATTTGGATTTCATCCAGATTCTCGTCGAGTAAGACTGTGGAGACGACCTGGAAATAATGAACGTTTGAGACACGTCCAGGAAGTCCACACATACAGAGGTGGTACAGTAATGCTATGGGGCGGAATCATGATCGGCGGCAGAACCGATCTCGTTTTTCCGAATCGCTCCCTCACAGCTCGACAGTACCTCGACACCATTCTTCTACCTATCGTCCGTCCGTTTGCTGGTGCTGTTGGTGAAAACTTCCACCTAATGCACGATAATGCTCGTCCACATGTCGCGCGTCTAGTGACTGACTGGCTCACCAACGAAGGAGTTAATGTATTGCCATGGCCAGCACAATCACCGGACCTGAATCCCATCGAGCATGTGTGGGACATGCTTCAACGAAGAATTACTCCGCATATGGGAAATATTCACACGTTTCAACTGAGAGAGCTTTGAATCGCTGAATGGGCAAATGTACCTCAACAAGACATTGACAATCTCATTTTGTCGATGCACGATAGATGTAGGGCCATAATAAACCAGCGTGGAGGCCATACTTTGTACTGATTCAAATTTTTTTTGTATTATGATTTTTTTTCGGGGTGCCAAAGAAGAGCCATATTTTTTTTAGTTTTGTTTATATACGCACTCAGTATTTTTGAACATTTAATAAATTTTGTTGTAAGTTACATTCGTTTAATAATCACCCATCAACTCTTTTTTCCTTAAAGCGATTTAAAAAAAAATATTGCCATTTTAAAAAATATCCCTAGACTTTTCCGATGTGTGTATATGGTAAAATGGATTAACAGGGTCTCTCAGTCAAAAAATCAAACTCTGCTTTACTTTGCCAAGCTTTCGCTTCTAATGGGAAGCTTCTTCAGGGCAGTAAAAATGAGTGAAAAACAATAAATTGAAGATATAAATTGACGTAAAAGTTAACATGTATACCATTTTTTGTGATTTGATCTCCACAAACTTTGTGGAGATCAAATCGTGAGTAGTAGTTTATTAAAAAACTAACATATTCTTCATTGAATGAATAAACGCAGCTCAATAAAAGTATAACGATTGAAACTACAACTCACCTGTTAGTACTGCAATAAGCTGTGGAAAAGTTCCTTGGAACATATAAAGAAATGATTTCTGATGCATTGCTTCACTCTAACTCTGACGAATTGATGTAAATTTTATCTAGTTTGATTTTCAATTCCCAAATCTAATTGAGAATAATTGTTTCAGATTGTTGATGGGCTAACATCTGCTCAGTCTTTACTCGTACAACTTCTGCCTGCACTGAAATTTCATAAACGGTGGTACGTTGTCTATTGCAGCGGCATAAAAAACTGAAAAAAAGACGTATAATTACGGTAATTGCTATATAAAATAACAATAAACACACTATTTTTCTCATTTCTATAGTTATACATTTTTAAAAGAATGTGAAACGACTTTAACAAGCGAATAGCCCTAGGTGGCTCGGATAGTTATTAACATCGCCTACCTAGGACACGAGGCTAATGCCGATGACACCACAGAAAAAAAAACCAAGCAGTTTGCTGTTTAGACATATTTAGAACACTAATAGCTCTATGCTTGTGAAACTGGTAGCGACAAGTATGAGAATGAAATCATAAAAGCCAAGTCAAAGATCGTCTTACTGGATCCTATCAATGTCATGCATGTCCAAATCCTAAGACAGTGGAAGAAGTATGAGACAAGTTGAATCAAGCTTTTTGGACTCGACTTTAACCAGAAGGATTAGCCAAGCCAAAAAATATTCCCGCTAACCATACGTTTGGGGAACGTAATTCAGTTTCATAAAGTATCCAAAATTCTCAGTGGCGGCAGTTGTATCGCCAAAAGCATATGCAGAAATTTCTTCTGTGAAGAATTCTGCACTAACGCCTGTCAGATATAATCCAACGCCCTTCGTAGTATTAGCCAGGGAAGTAGTTGTTTTCTGATGGGTGTCAGTCCATTCAATCTACAGTGTAGGTAATTTGAGACTGGCCTGAACGAATTGTTTTTTTAGATAATTTAAAAATAATGGAGTTTTTTCAACACGTCCGGTTGTACCGAAAGATAGCACCGACTTTCTTAATTCAAATGTAACACCCTGTATATTCATATTTTTCAATACCTGGTATAACTATAATGTGAGTTTATACGATACACCCTATACAAAAAATGAACCATTTTCTTGAGATATTGATTTTTTTACTCAAAAAACTAGGTATTCGGCTCTCGAATGACTTTCCCATAAAATTCAAAAGTTCGATACATAAATAAGGCTATTATTAATTCATGGAACTCATCAAAATACTTCATTCCATCGTTTCGAAGGAGTAACATTTTCAAAATGTTATACAAGGTGTTCGGAATCGATGACTAATTGTAAAGATATGAAAATTGGCCAAAAATTCGGTTTTTCCGAGATGATTTTTGACTCATTTTCATGAAATGTTCCCTATATCAAAAATCAACCGTTCACGAGATATTTCTGTTTTTCTTGAAAAAATAGAACATGTCCACCATGAAACTATGGGCTACAGAAAATTTATTAGAGCTAATTATTTGCCGTCTTGATGTATATTGAAGACAGGATCTCATATGAATAAATAATGAATTAAAAAATGTTTATTCGAAATGAGCGGCTGATCCGCTCAATAACACGTGTAACATTGAAAATATGCACCATGTGTTCGTCTTGCTTTCGAATATGCACCAGATATTAATTATTCTGCGCGTTCAAAAATCGCTAGCGATAAAATAGATAAAGTATGTCAATATTTTCAAGCTTTGAAATTTCAGAATGAAACACCCGACATGTGCTGCGCATCAGAAAAACTTGTGCTGTCACCTCTGTCAGAATATTATACAGGGTGTTTCAAATTCGATTCTCACCATTGGGATCTCGGAAACTATGAGGGATACGAAGATGGTTAAATTGGGGCAAAGTTGCGCATTTACCTGACTAACAATATGCCGTTGAGAATGTTCTTAAATTCCGTGTATATCTGGATAAAACAGAAATTCTGGAAAATGATTTTTCTGGCTTTATTTTTCGAAGGATTCGAAAATAAAATGCACCTCTACATTACCACTTTTTCCCTGCTACATAATGGTGTTTTCAGATTTGCTATCCGACATTTCGTCTTCCGACCACCATCATCAACTTCATTTTTTACACGCGAGCAGATGGCGCTCGCTGTATGTAACCTACTTGATATTTCTTGATCTATTTGCGGGCAGATGGCGCAGCAACATCGAACTAAAAATTTAAAAATATTTTTTTTAAATAAGCTTAAAACAATAACGATTTCAATGACATTTTGTTATTGCACAAGTCATTGAATTTTTGGTAAAAAATGGTTTTCACGAATAAAGAAAAAAGAGATGTAATACAAATTTATTACAAATACGATAGAAACAGTGTTAAGACATCGGAAATGCATTTAAATTTGTATATCGAAAGACGACAACCACATCGAACCATGTGCAAGTTATTGGATCCAAATCTCACCGAGTTTAGTTCATTTGAAAAGCCGAGGAAAAAATATGGAGATAGACTGGACCAGGAAACTAAAGAAAATTTGATAAATGAGGTATGTATGAGGTAAGTTAGATATTGTGTCCTTTTCAATAAAAATCAATGATTCGCAGATAAAAATGAACCCGGGGAAATTTACACGTCAAATTTTCTCCGAAATGAATATTTGTCATACAAGTGCTTGAAGACATATCAAAAAAAGCGGTTCCAAATGTTACAAAAAACACATATCTCAAAAATTGCATTCTTAGCTCATTAACCTAATAAAACAAGTGATTCATCACTTATCACTTTATTAAATTTCTTTGTGTGAAACAATTTATATTGTGTTTCACAAACACAATATGAAAATTTCATATTTCTCTCGGCTACTACCTTAAAAAACATTCATTAATTCTGAGACGGTAGGTACGAAGTTTGCCGGGTTAGCTAGTAAAGTTTGATAATTATAGAATTCTCATAGAGGTCATACAGACACACGAATCCATTTTTATTGGAAATATAAAATAACTTTGTGTGACAACGCAATTAATTGCGTGATTGCACCGCATAAAATTCCCCTGACTTTGAAATCGAAGGTCAAAGATAAACTTGATCAAATGGTGTTTAATAATATAATTATACTTGGTAATGAGCCGATTGATTTGGTACATCCATGGAAGTAGAAACCAAGGGAATAAGCGCTCAAAATATCTGAAAGAACAATTCCTTTAGGCCAGTCTCAACACCCTACACTGTAAATTAATGGACTGACACCTATCAGAAAACAACTAATTTCCTAGCTAATATCACGAAGGGCGTTAGATTATATTAGTCAGGTGTCGGTGCTGTTGGTGATACAACTGCCGGGATCGATTTTCAATTATTGGAACAGCCTGCAGACCGTTTCGTGCTATTTGTCCTCTCGTCAGTGCAAGGTAGTGTCCATCATCAACATGGAGTCGATGATTCTCCACAATTAAAAATCGAATTCCTTTCAGAGTATAATTACTCGAACAAGACTGAAGCGAACGACAAATAACATGTTTCTCATCGCCTCATCTGCCCGTAAACGAGGAATTGGACGATTCGGATATGCGGTTGGTTACCTCGTCTACGGGCAGATGGGGCGATGACAAACATATTATTTATCGTTCGCTTCAGTCTTGTTCGAGGAATGATACTCTGAAAGGAATTCGATTTCAAATTATGAGAAATCATAGACTTCATCTTGATAATGAACACGAGAGGACAAATAGCCCGAAACCGGTCTTCAAGCGGGCCCGTTCCAATAACTGAAAATCTATTCCGGCAGCGGTATCGCCAACATCATATTCAGGAATTATTTCTGTGAAGAATCCTGCACTAACACCTGTTGGTTATGATCTGACGCTCTTCGTGATATTAAACCTGGGTAGTGGTTGTTTTCTGATATGTGTCAGCCTATTAACCTACAGTGTAGGTGAGTTGAGAATAGCCTGAACGAATTGTTCTCTCAGATAATTTGATTTACAGCTAGTCTTCAAGTATACCCCCTTACTAGGAATCACAATCCCGTGTTAGGAATCACACGTTAAAAGGTAAGACCTCGTTAATCCTTAGCTCGCACAAGTTTCGACTTCTGAGGGTTGTCGTTCGTAGGGGTGCGACAGCTGGTTAACGGAAAAACAGATTTTA